GATTGATATTTTTGTTATATTATTTTTTTCTATTCTTTCTAGAATCATTATTTTTTCCTATATTAAAGTTAAAAATAACTAATTAATGTAATATACGTTCAAAGGATTCGTTCATTCTTATATTTTTGTATTTAATTGGGCATGTTTAATTGTTTTAACGGAGTGTTTAGTTTTTAAATTTTACAATTATTTTGTTTTAAGTAAAAAGGAAAAAAATATTAAATTATTAAATAAAACAAAAAAATTAAATTGAATAAGAGAAGAAGTTAATTGTAATTAATTATTAATAATAGAATAATAAATGAGAATCCATGTTCTTATAAATAATTAATATTCTCATGTAAACTATGAAAATAATAATTACTATTATTAATATTATTATAGTAGTTATCATATAACTCACTTTTATTACGGTCATAATAAAGACTAATTTCGATAGTAAATAAAAACATCATAAGATAAATAGAGAATAAAACAATAAATAAAGAGAAATAATTTTAAAGGAATTATTTTTAATATTTATTAGATTAGCATTAGTATTTATTATATAATTATACTATAAATCAATTATTGTTCAATCATGTTATAAAAGAATTTTAAAGATATTTATAGTTAAATAAACCAATAAAAAATGATGTTTGATATCAAAGCATTAATACATTAAATTAAATAAATAAGATAAATAGAAAGAGCTTTAATAAAAATTAGGATTAATTAGAGAATTAAGAGAAGTAATGAATGTGATTTTATCAATAAATAGATTAACGTATAATTACTCAATAAGAATATTACAAATAATTAAATTATATTTAAACAATAATATAATATTTCTTAGACCTAATTCAAAATTTTTATATTCTCTCTATTTCAGCAAATTCTATTATAAATAAAATAACATTATATCAAGAAATTATTTTAATACTTGTCTATATTTATTTATAAGGTTTAAATAAAAAGTATTAAAGAATATTATTGAGTTCTTCCATTTGAATTGATACCATTTAAATTTGAATGGAACTCAATTAAAAATAGTTTTTAAAGTAAGACCTAAGCTAAAGAGAAAATTGAATTTGTTGTTGAATTTGAAAGATTTAAATTATCAAATAGAATCATTAATGAGTATAAAGTAAAAATAAACAACAAAGGAATAATTAATGATTAGTATATAACAGACAACAAAAAGCCAATTTCAAAAGGTTACCATAAAACAAATAAATAGAACAGAAAAGATAACCCCGATGGCAAACATTGATAAGGATAATCGAGCAAATAAAGAAGCTCGTTTATCTTTACTACTACTGAAAAGAACATAATTGATAATCCAAACTAAAGGAAAGAAGAATCCAATAACAATAAATAATAAAGAAATTTTTGCAGCAGTATCATTAACTTCATTTTCTTTATTCGTTTGTGGAACAACAGGTACTGGAATAGAAATCACTGAACGAACAGGTTGTTGTTGTACTGGTGGTTTATTCTCTATATAAATTGGTTGTTGATATTGTGGAACAGCAATATAAGTAGGAGAAACAAGAACTTGTTGAGGTGTTTGCATTGGAAAGTAACAAATAATATATAAAACAGATGAGCTTTAATAATATGAAGTTTCGTGTAATAGAGATAGAAGGTTCTTTCTCAAATTAATCTGTCTCAAAGGAGTTTTGGGGAAATTGGTACCATTGTTATTTATTATTTTATCTAATATTGTTTATTTAAAAATTAATTTATTTTTATTTTTCTCTTCTTTTGATTTTATTTGAAAATATGGATAAAACTAATTTAGGTAAAGTCTGAATGTTTTGTTTTTTTTTCGGACTCAATGTTTGTTTATTTCTCTTCTTATTTGACAAGATTTTAAAAATGCTGTGTCTATTTTTATTTTTGTGAACAAAAATGACTCCAACAATAAAAACTACCACAATATATAAATCTTGAAACTTTCACTTCGAATTCTTAGTGCCATTTATTTCTTTATTTTTATTATATTTTTTATTGTAATATATAACGATACTTTTATTTTTAGAATAACAAAATTATAGTATTTTCTGTTATAAGATCAAAAAGTTCTAATAAATGTTTTTTCATAAATTTGATTATTTCTTTTAATTTATAAATATTTTTTTTTATAAGGGGGTATTGAAATATTGGTAAAATTGATTTTATTAAACAAGAAAATAATATAAAATTTAATTAAAAAGATGAAAATTAATTCAATGAAGTTATTCTTTAAAAATTTTAGAAAAAAAAATAAAAGAAATTACAACATAAAAAGAGTTTTAACTAAAGGGGTTTAAACAAGGAATTACAACTTACCGAAAGAGAGATTCTAACTTTTGATAAAAAGAAGGAATATTTGCTTCCATATATTGTTCAAATTTTAGATCATTTTTATCGACATATACTGATGTTTGTTTATCAGCAAGATGAAATAAGTAATCATTAATTACCTTTCCGTAACGTTGAATTTCATCTTTTGAAAAAAGGAGTTTGTTATTAAAATAAATTCTAATAACACGTTCTTGTTGAAGTGTTTTACAAGTCTTTTTAGCATAAATTGAGTCAAAGAAGAATCCAAATTCTCTTAAAAGATCTAATAAATAATTCAAAATGAAGAATACAACACTTTTATTCACTCTTCTTCTAATAGCAATATTTTCTAATGAATTTTCTTCAGTTTTTGAGTACAATAGATTACAACAATTTGATGAAAGTTGTAAAAGATCTATTGTATCATTTTTATAATGAATATGTGTAACAACTGACATAGAATTTGTTGCTGTAGATGCTTTAATTGGTCTACGAATTGTAAATCCACAAAATGGATGAAGAAGAGCAAGAGAAACAGCAGCTTGGAAGCACATTTCATTTTTAATTTGTCTTTCTTTGATGGCATTAGCAGAATATCCTTTTGCTGCTTTTGGTTGTTTCACTACCATAATAAAAGAGTCTTCTTCATTAATATGATCTTCAAAGATAAAACTATTCTTTTTACTTGTGGAAATAGTTATAAGTGGTCTAAATAATCTGGTTTGTATTTTCTTTTTTATACTTTTTTCTATTTCTTTTCCTTCATTTGTGTGACCGAATGAATGCATTTCTCTACAATAAAAGAGTTTTAGATCACTGTTTTTGATTTCTGTATCCATTCTATTTATAAAATAGATTATAAATATTCTTATTTATTTTAAGTTTTTTATTTTTATTCATATTTTTAAAAAAAAAGATATTAAGAAATATTCTATCTAGTATTATTTCTTAAAAAAAAACAATACAAGTAACAGAAATAATAAATATTTCTTAATTATTATCACTAATATTTATATAGTTTTTTGTTTTAATATCATTTTTAAACTATTTGAATTATATCTTAATGATATATAAAAAATAAAAGATTATACTTCTTTATCCAACTAATATCCTTCCATTTTATTAAGTATTTATTGTTTTATATCTTAATTTCATATTTTTATTCTCTTTGTTCAACAAATATGATTAGTTAATAGATAAAAACAAAATTGTTGAATTGTATTTATTAAAAACCAAATCAAAAAAAGATTTTCGAATTGAATCAAAAACTAACATTATATATTAATAAACTTCTCCATATGATATTATCATTTTAAAAATTAAACTAATAATTACTTAAAGAGAAGATTTTTTCATTTTTAGGTAATTAAAAAGACTTAAAAAGTCATTGATTTCTTTGGTGGTAGAAGGTCTCAGTGAATAAACCAAAGCTTGAGTCATAGGTAATACAATATAAAAAAGGAAATAGGGGTATAATGGTTTTTATAAGATCTATTGAAAATTTCAAAAGAATAGAAAGTCGTGTTTTTTTCGTATGAAAAATAATCCGGAAATAGGAAGTTAAAGGTCTTTAAGACGGTAAAAGAAAGGATAAAAGGAAGAAAATGAAAAGAAAATGAGAGTTAAGATAACATTTTGATTATTAGAATGATTAATTGAAATCAATAGAAATGAAAAAGACAATAGTTTAAATAGCAAGAAGAACTAAAAGAACTAAACTGAGTTTGAATGGAAAATAAACATATCACAGTTTCACCAATTG